TGGATATTTCCACTGGTTTGGAAATGGAATGTGCACTCTCTACCCAGAGGGATGGATACACAGGTGAAACGTATAGATTAAAAGAAACAGTTCAATATACTTAGCAGTATGTGTGAGTTGTCTGACTAGAATGAAAAATGGGGCAAAAAGTCAATTTTAAATGATTTCAGCACATTAGTCTGTGGAACTAATTAATCACAAATAAATCTGTAATAAAACCGTCAAAACAAGTCTCAATACCACAGACACGTCCCTTGACGCTTTTGAATGTCATTTATACCATTCATTGTCTTTGCATCAATTTTGCGGCCTTAATACTTATCCATGGTTTAAATGTTCATTTCAATGAAGATACAGGTTTATAAAGGGTCGGCTAAAACTAAAGGCCAGGGAAGGCTAAGTCTAATGCAATTACCATGGACTTTACAACAGTGACACATGCTCAGCAAAGACTGTGCACATCCATATTGTCTAAGTTGTAGGAGTTAACGCTTTAAAAGGATTGTGCAAGGTGCTTCCAGGCAATGCAGTTGAATTGAACCAAAATGTTTTTCATTCTAGCCTCATTTTCTCGAAAGAACATACGCTTTCAAGGAATTAATTTTTTTAAAATCTTTCCACCTGTCAATGATCTCCATTGTAAGAAGATTTAAAGGTTGGCGAATCTTAATTTGTGTCGATGGTCTCAGATGCCCTTAGTAATAACTTAAAACGTGCTTACACTATTAATTAGATTACACTAGAATTGCTTCAGTCTAATTCACTTACTGTTTATTAGCCTCAACTTGAACTTAACATGATGGTCTTGCTTGAATTTAACACACTGCATTCACAAGCGCTTCACGAACAACACCAATGCATATACCAACACAGGCAATCGATCAGAAGTGGGGGTTTTTTGGTCAGCCGAATCTCTGACACCTGTAGAACCCCAACACCATGCTTAAGAGTATCCAAAGCAGACTAGGAGTTCAACATCTGTATGTTACTGACATCCAGAAACTTCTCAGTGTCTGGAAAGGAGTATGCACTCTCTCCCTGGAGCGATATACCCTGCCCACCTAATTCTAACAAATATTAGGTGCAGGTTGGCACGAGCAGAAGAGTGAGAATTCAAGAGAAGTCAAATCACAATTACACCACTGTCAGTTTAAGAGTGCATCCATTTTCTGCTTTGCGAATAAAAAAGCAAGCGGTAGCAAACTGCAATTCACTTGGTTTAGTAACATGCCTACGGCTTGGTTTAATATAACAATATTCACTCATTACTTACAAAGTGTATGTCGAAAGTACATTTTTTCAAGTCCTATTCTGTGGGAGCAATGAATGACCACTAGATAAAATTGCAATCCTTATCTATGGTGAAATGCAAACCTCTCAATTTAATTTCACATTCGTGACAGGAAGAGTACATTCTTTATGTAATACATCAAATTCACTGTTTGAAAGAGAATAGGGATTCCCTCTGGAAATTAGTACAGAAAATCTGCAGAACCAAAAGTAATTTGCAACATGCAATACTGTATCCAAAAATATTCTCTGGTGTCTGAGGAAGTATTTTGGAATCTAATGTTGCTTGATCCAAATTTACCTTTTTTAATATATAAAGAAGAAAGATGAAAGGTTTTAACTGAGAAATATCCTGAAGTGAACTGCCCTGAAGCAAACATGGCACTCGCCCGATTAAAATCAGACTGAATGTATTAAGTATCCTAAGGGATCACACCACATTTTGAAAAGACATTCTGCTGGCTTTAGAGAATAGATGAATGTTTAACCCTATACAGTATCAAATCACAAACATGTAATGGGCACATTCTTAGTTTATATCATCGAGGGAGAAGGCTGAGATTCAACAAGTAAGTTGCACGTGATAATTGGGCTGTTTTTTTTTACCCGGGAGTGTGACACATGTAGAAACCCATCGCCATGCTTAACAGTATCCAAACCAGATTGAGAGATCCATTTATCTCCATACCCACCCATGGAAATTCCCTCATTGGAATGGAATGTGCAAGACTAAATTGTGAATTTGCCTCTTAGAACTGTGGGACCACCCTTTCAGAATGCACCACAGTGGAGCGCAGAATTAGTATCTAGTATTGAGCTGCCTTCTACCAGAAGGGAGTACACGTGGCTTCCAGCATTGGACAATCAGCTTCTTGCATTGCAAAATAACTGTCTCCAGGTTCTCAGGGCTCCATTGTAACTTCCTGTGCGCTACACATGCACCCGGTGCACAGGAAGCTGCAATGATTATGCTTCAAGAAGAAAGTGACATCAGCAGCAGTTCCTAATCATAATACATCATGGGGTTTACCATGTCTTGTAAACATAGGACAATTTTATTGACTCTTCTAGTGAGCTGGGCAAACATACATTGCGCAACTCTGCTTGCACCCTCTAAACCCCCATCTAATCTCTTGCCCGTCTATCTTAAAATAAACTGAGCATGAGAGAACAGTCAGTATCCAAATTAGTAGCAAGGTTTCACATTCCTAAAATTATTGTTGGCTGTATATTCAGAACGAGCAATTAAACTAAGAATTTAGGCATCAACTGTTGTGATAAGGGCTATAACACAATCCTCCTAAATTAGCATATTTACATTCTTGATTTGAAACGTTGAATGGAGGGTGAAACGAGGATGAAACGCTTTGTTTTGCACAGTAATAAATAAATCCACTACCATTTAGCACATTCCAGATCCAATGAGTCCAATAACTACAACAACTTGCACTCATACATATAGCTCCTTTGAGCATCTCAAAGTGCTCATACTCTATTCTATTCATGCTGTCGTTGATCCACATCTTCAGTCAGTTCACATTTTGCTATTAGGATTCTTGACCAGATTCTTTGAACAAAACATGCTGCAGTGAGTCTGCTATTTGGAATGATACAAGGCTGCAAGATCTCTAGGTTAGGAAGATGTTCATAAACCATTGTATCCAGCTGTGCTCTAATGGCATCTGTCTTTATCTGAATTTATTAGTCATCAAATTACCCTTTGGTTTCTTTGTTCTTGAATCTTTGCTGCCTTGCAGAATCAAAGTTGCTTGAAGTGTGTTAAAAATTATCCCTGAGTAGGAAAATGTAGGAAAACAGACTGTGCCATCAGTTTTGTCCACAAAATATACAGTCAATTCACTTTACAGTATACTCTGTGAAGCATTTTTGAGATGTCTCAAAGACGTGATAAGGCAGCAAATGCAAGGATTATTATTAGATCTTTGCAGATTATTCAACTCCAATGCCCTTCCCTTTTCACTATACACATTTTTACCTCTGCTTCCCAAGTACCCGTCTCTCTTTTAAACATCACTATTGATTTTGCATCTACAGCTTTCTAGGGCAGAGCATTGCACATCTTCACAATGATATGTATGAAGCTTCTTAACCTCAATTGTACCTGTCTGATTTCATGACCTTTTATAATGCATCCCTCTATCAGAGTCATCCACTATTTAACCTGTCAATTCCTGTGATTTTAAAAACATTAATCAAATCAGCCCCTATAACTTCATCTGCTAAAGGAACAGCACCTCAGTCTACCCAGCCTCTCAACATAGCTCAGCCTCTTCAACCCAGATATTAGTCTAGTGAACCATCACTGAACACCCTCCATTGAAATTACAAGATAACCACTCCAGAATTACTTGCTAATTGCAGCAAATTACAGGGAAGCAATCTGTCAGAATCTGGAGAAGAGAAGTGAACACAGACCAAGTGTATGACTGCCAAATCATTCCTCCCCTCAACTCTCCATCGTGCAGTAGTTCCCACCTACATAAAGGAACACATTTGTAATTCCAGTAATTGCCACATAATTATAGCCGTCATTAACATTCAGAATACAATTGGTCACTTTCAGTGAATAACAGAATGAGGTTCGGTTACATTACCAGGAAATCTTAAATGAAGTTACAGCAGAGTCACTGGACTTGTACAAACTAACCTTATCATTCGCTAGTGTGCCAAGCAACAATGGATTTTGCTGTTTATATAAAAGCTAATTCATTGTTCATGATGGTGGAGTATAACCTTACAGAACCTCGATTGGCACAAAGAGACTCGGCTAGTTTAGTTTGGGCGAAATGAAACAAATCGTATTTAGTAAAGGTAACTAGTTGTGGGTACAAACAAAAAAGAAGCATTAAACTGAGGCTCCAGTCTACTTGTTCAGGGAGGGCGTTAAAGATCCTATGCACATTCAAGAAGAGAAGGAAGTTTCTCCCTGTTGCCTGGCCAACTATCCCCCAAATGAAATTGGTCATCCACTTTCAAGGCTGTTTGTATTACATTGCTATGTGCAAATTCGTTACTGAGTTGGCTTACAAATACAGTCGCCACACTTTGCAATAAATCGTATGAAGTGCTTCCAGGCTCCTCCCAATTTGGAAGGCACTATATGACATGCAAGGTTAAATTAAATTTAAATATACAATATATTCTTATACTGATGAGTAAATTTTATTTTATTCTCAGACATTAATAAGTCATTAGGCATACATCATGAAAGGAGTCCAGCTTAATTGTGCATGAAACCTCTTTTGTTACTTGTAGGAAAGAAAGAACTTGTACTTTTATGTTTTATTTGTAATACAAACTTTGCAACTGTCAGCTAAGATCTTTCAGAAGGACCTCATCAACTCACTAGTCTGTTTGCCTGCAAAAACAGTCACTATACCAGACAGTAATTGCCTGATTTGGGTTTACATATAAAACATAAACATGCTTTTTTTTCTTGCAAAAGAGGTTTCATGGCAGTCTATGGTTCTGTATGCAATTAAGCTAGACCAATTCCTTGATGTAGGCCCTAATGACTTATTAATTTGAGAATGAAAATGAAATTTACTTATCAGTATATAAGTGCTTTCTGTGTAAGATCCAATCCCTTAATGAACTTATCTCTGAGTCACTGGACCCATACAGACAAGCTTTGTGATGCCCTTCGTCTGCAAATTACAATTAATCCCGATGATTTGCCTAGTTCTTACCAGGGTCTTTGACCGTCTGTTTCAGGCATACATATGACAGAATCCCGTCAGCTTGCAGAAGTAGACATCTGCAGTGAACAAAAAAAATTATGATTAATTTATTCTCATTTTAGTTTGCTGATTTTAACTTCATCCCCTCCATTCTTCTTTTGTTAAATTGCAGTGACATACTGAAGTAGTGTGTAATATCCAACATTTCACCAACAGCACCAAATAGCGTCTCTTGCCAATAACCAGAAGTGCAGCACGAAGGAGCAGAGCATATTATAGGAAACTTAGGGGACTAATTCCACAAGATCACAAGAGAGGTTCAGGTGAAGATGATCCTTTAAAACATTTGATCTCATCTTTCCAGAATAATCAATCTCATGTCCATCCAAACAACATCAAAAAACACCCTTTTTGGGTAATCTATTCCAGTAATTAAATACTTTCTGGCATCTGTCTTGAAATTGTCTCTTAAAACCCTGCAGCGATCCCATTTTATTCTAAGAAGCAACTTGACCCAGTAATGTAAAGATGGCGGGTTGGGTCGCCAGGCAAGGATCAGATGGGCTGCAGGACTTTCTTCATCTGAACTGCTCAAGATTTACTGAACAAAATATTCAATTGTTTGATTGGAACTTCTGAATCGCCGTTCGTAAAAGTTTTGTTCTTCTAGAATCCATGAAACAAACAGAATATATAATGTTTACTCTTTCTAGAACCACTTATGTTTTCCTCTGACTACTGTTTCCTTTTCAATGAATAACTCAGTAAAACCCACTGTACTAAAAGTGAGTCATAGGGAAATGTCATTCTTTCCCTGAGGTGCTGTTTGTCCTTTCTATTATTTATATAACTGGCTGATTAATGACCCATCTTCAAATTGATGGGATTCCCTTACGCAGGAAGCATTTGTTATGACGCACAAAGTTTGAAACCTAGAGGATTCTGGCCTATAACCAATCTAAAAACAATCTTTGTGTAGTGAAAGATGTACAAACACAATCAAACATCCTGTCAATCAAATGTGCCTTTTATGTAAAAGTCTGCATTTTGGCATCCTATAATTACAAAAATGAAGCTCTCTCATGTCCTCTCATGTGACAACTATTGCAGTTAGTCATTACATTTTTTAATAATTTATCCAAAGCACAAAATAATGCACAAAAACAGGATTGTTGTATATTCAGATCAGAACAACGCCTTAGCTGCTAGCACTTTATCTCTGGATGAGGGTTTCATAACCTAGGATGACACTCCACTATAGTACTGAAAACATTGTTGGAGGCATCGCCTGACTTACAGATTAGACATCAAACCGGGGTCCTGTCTGCAGTTCTAGTGGTTCAAGTGGTTGTTTGAACACACATTTGTTCAACACCTCTTTTGATCAGAAATCAGACATTCTTAAGAAATCTGTGAAGAAATACAACAAATTAAACCCAATCATTTAAGGATACTACTGCATAGTGACGATTTGAAATATAGCTACAGTCACCGGTCATATGTGTAATGTCAATTATTATAGTGACATTTATCCAATTTTTATAGTTACGTACAATAGAAGTCCAGCTGGGTACAAATAGGCACGGAATCAGATCAAAGGACAAATAATGAAAAGCAAAGGGAGAGCGAATTTATATCAAAACATTGGAATATCATGGTAACAGAATAAAGTTCAGTCACTTTCAAATGAGCTAGTATTGTTCAAAAAAATATAGATCAAAAGGTTAAAAACTGAAACAAGTTGTATCTTTTCAATTCTGAAAAAGGTCAAGTGGACCTGAATAACCCAGCATTTAATCTCAGATCAATGGTTTCCTTCATTTTTGCAATTAGCCTATCTAAGCAAATTCCTAGTTCTCGCTTTTAATAAAAAAAACACTTGCTTTGTTGCCAAAACTTTAATCAGATTCTATTTCTGCCATGAGACCAAATAAATCGTTGCCTCAGGCCCAGGGATTATCTTGCTATTTTGGTAATAAGATGGAGTGGGATTTCTTGCATTGCATCTGAAGGACGTAATCTCCAGAGTGGAGTGGAATAAATTCTATGAACTTGTGTGAACTTTGTTTTTTTCTTCCCTTTTGTTTGTTTAATACAAATGGAGGGTCTGTGAAAAGAAGATTTCAGAGTCTAAACATTTACAACAATTTAGGAAAAGTGAATAGACTTCAAGGTCTACTATCTTTTTAAAAGAATTTCCTAAACAAAAACAGCCTCACTGTCACCTATAAAGAGTGCATTATATTCAGATCTGCAGTGGGAAGATTGATTAATTTGAAAGAATGTTATTAACTCATAGTAGTGAAACTGGGGCCTGGTATTAGCAAGTAAGTGCGCACACCAGATTAATTGAATGAAGCAAAGATTTTGCTGATCCTTTTCTTTTGGTTTTGTGCCATTGAGATGTGGCATTAGCATCTGGTAGTCTTGATATAAATTACATTGACAAAAAGAGGGAGAATGCACCAATAATGGGATCAGAGGTGCCAGAAGTGCACAATGCAGAGCTCCATGACAGTGGAGAGAGGTGAATTGCCTCTGAAGTGAAAAGAAACCATTTCAAAGTCAATGATTTTTGCTTCGTGCACAGAAAGAACAAAAAAAACACAATAACCAATAACTTAAGCACAGGAGAGTCGTTCAAATGTGTATCAGCGTAATTTAGAACTTCCAGGATTCATTTATCTGAATTGTCCAAACTTCTGATCAATTCAGATTTTTCATTTGATTCACTGCTCATCTCTGTGATATAGCAATGTTTTAGTTTATAAATGAAAATTGGAATCTTTTTGAAAGAGTTCAGTTAAATGTTAGCCACAATATATGACACAGTACGGTGCCTTACCTCTGCGCACTATTGTTGATCGGCTAATTTGTACCCTGCAATTTATTCTCCTCCCCACTTGACGGTCTATTCAGTTCCTCCAAATTGTTGTAAGTGTCTCGCCTCCTTTTGTATTAGAGAAACAAAAGAATAAAAAGTTCAGCCGAGGACAAAGAATTAATATCATCCCACCCTTCAGATTATTTCCTTCAAGAGTAATACAAGAAGCATCATTCCATCCTATTACTAAAATAGCAAATAGTAATCCTGCTACTGAGTGAGATACTCAGTTGAATCCTCCTTTTCGGACAACATAGAACCCAAGAGAGAAATAAAATTCAAGTCTCGGTGTTGGAAGAACAGGATGACAGGATGTCAAGTATTGCTTCACTGACTAGTGCATAATTTTTCAGAACATTAAAATATCATGTTTCTGAAAAAAATTCTCCTGAAGATTTGATTTTAAAACAACATATCATTTTATGCTTTGATACATATCCTGACTAATTAGCTGGTGGTAACTAGTGGCTGCAACCGGAGAGATGCAGTAATCCAGCCCGCAAATTGGAGATTTTGGAATCCTCTTGCAAATATTAAAGTATCAGCAGAGTTTGAAATCTCAGCAAATCCACCAACCATATTACTTCAATATCCTCACTGAATTGCTACTTGCATCATGTGGCCATGGCTTGCAATATCCTTTTCTGGAGGATTGTATATCTGTGTTTCAGCAAAAAGTTTGCTGAACAGCAATTAAACGACATTCAGGTCACATTTCTACACAGAAACCTGCTTTTGTGGGAAGTCCAATTTGAAAGCCACAAAAATTACAAGGAGCTGAAACTCTAGTCAGCAGTAGTGCAGCCATTTCAGTTCAGTGCGAAGAAAAAGGAGAAACATGAAAATCGTATCAGCAACATTTTTTGTTGTTGAACCTTGTTGGCTACACAAATTCCAAGCTTGCATCAATAAGGTAATAAAGATTATTAATAATCTATAGAGCTACTAAAATGAATCAATCGATAACTCACTATTTGAATACCCATCAGTTAACAAAAATGGTTTCAATAAAACACTTTGCAGAACTTCCTAGAAAGAACAATAAATCACCAATGATTAACACATATATACAGCATGCAGATTTACTCTTTGGTACAGGTGAAAAGTCGAGACATCAATTAATAATGTAAACATTAATTGATTAATGATAAATCCAAAAGGCCAATTTAGAAATGCTTTAAGATCTTCAATGTATACACCAGTTAGGCTTGGAGCTAAATTAAATATGCACATATTTATAGTCACAATAATGGTAAATGCGAATAGATCAGCAATATTATAGTGCAGATGGAAGCCATTCGAGCTATCAACTCTGCATTAGGTCTCAGAGTAAGCTATTCACTCAATCCACACATTCCTTCAAGCTTCTATCCTCAAGATAAATCTAACTTGTGGTCAATGAAATGGAACACATTATCAAACTTTTGTGGGATTTGATGCCACACCGCTGAAATAATTGGGTTATTCAAATGTGAAGATTTCATTTCTTCTACGTTTCAAAAGCTTATCTATAATTAACTGGACTGTTCCCTTCCTCTGAGCGAGGACTGCTATTTCATAAATAAAAACAGGACTGCACTTTCCGAAGCACATCAAATTTTGATCACAGCCATGTTTCCATAGTAAAATCAGAGACTTGGGGAGTTCCCATCAATTAAACAGCACCGTTAGGGAGATCTTTATGTAAATTATAATATCAGGGATTGCCTGGTGCAGTATAATCCATTGAGAAAATTCTATGATCTCAAGATCAAAGTAATTTGGTTCATCTTTGAAGTTGGTTTTCGAGATGCAAATGGAATATTGAAAGCGCAACAATACTGATTAGGGAATAAAGGAATGTCCTCTTCATCAAAGATTTGTTTGAAAATATGAGCACTTCCTATCAAAGCAAGCTCAACCAGATCATCATTCAATTGTTTGATCTGTCAGCTCTTCCTCCACTGCTATTTTGGTTGCCGTTCTGGGTTGAAAAACCCACCATCATTAGCAAGTTAGTGGATTGAATAAACTGCTCGGTGTCATAAAGTACCTGTCTGCAATAACATGCAGGGTTTTTTTTAAACCTTATGTCAAGGAGAGGGCTGCCGAGGCAGAGTTGTTGGTAGAGAGTTTATTATTGGGGGTGGGTGGTGGGGGGGCCTGGCCGAAATGGTGCTTAAATGCAGGACTGTTGTCATATAAAATGTTTGAAATTAAAATAATTAACTGCTTGCGCAATACATCTTGGCAACTTTCAACTGCAGGCATATTTTGACCATATGAACTGCACATTATCCAGTGTTCGAAACACTGACTGTCCAGCGCCTTGGAACGTTCTCCCGACGTGAGAGGCACTATACAAATGTAATTTTGTTGTTGTTGTTCAGATGCATATGGCAACTATTCAAACTTAATTCAGATTTTGTATATTTTGCAAATATTACTGAATTACCCTCTGTTCTGAAATCTGTTTAATTTGTAGCAAACAATTGCATTAATGACACCTCCAGAAAATGACCTCAAAAAACCTTTCCCAACTGTTCTGCTATGCTGTGCGCAATCAGTTGCTGTGTTTCGCCCACAAAATATACAGTCAATTTACTTTACAGTATATTCTATGAAGTGCTTTGAGACATCTGAATGATGTGATAAGGCGCTATATCAAATGCAAGGATTATTATTATTATTATCTAAAACTCCTTAACCGTGAGGTCCCTACAGTAGTATAGTAATCGGAATGCATCTTACTTAAACATTAATTTCTTTTATTGCCTAAATAAGTAAACAGGGTCTTAAATTCAGGAATTCTAAGGACTATGTAGGAACCTGTTATTTGCCATTGAACTGGAAAGAAAAAAATGTGGATTGCTTATGTAGTGACTTAATCGGAAGCAACTACAAATGAAGGCTGATAAAATGATAAGAATTATACACAAACTACTGTTCCACCCATGTGGAGTATTTAATAACACACAAGGTGTTTCTTTCATGAAACATAGAAGCTGAAACTATCTGCTCCCAGTGGATTAGATATACCAAGAGCGCAACTGTGTTTCCTTCTTGCATAATTTTTCCACATTCTTTTCCCTCAGTATAAATAAGCACAACATCTGTGCTATATCACTACAGGGTCACTTCCACCCTGACTGTTCCTGGTATTTCAGTCTGCCAGTCTGAAAGCAAGCCAGGAGTCCATTATTTGGGGAAAAAGTAACTTGGTCCACTGCACAGAGTAATTAAACAGCAGTTTTGAGTCACTATGACACATGGATACACCAGCACCCAATGACACACCTAGAAAGATACGATTCAGTCAAATCAGTTCAATGATCAAGAGCAGCTTTAGGTCAAAGTATAAAGAGGTAGCTACTGATAAGGGCAATTCTTTGATGTGAACCTGCATGTTCCTCTACAAAAATATACAAAACCCACAAGGGTCACTCGTTAAAATTGACAACACACATTTGTATTGATTATTATTATTATTAGAATGTATTCTTATGTCTTAAGTTCACTCTGAAAAATAAAGCATTATCCAGGTGAGGAATTGTAGACATGATGAGGTTGATTGACTACGTGCCCGAAGGACAGAAAAACAATGTGTTTTAGTGTAGTAGGTCACATCGCCAATGTTTTTGCAATAAGTTATGTCCGTATGACACAATCGTGCAGGTTGCCTCATACGGCACAACTTACAATCTGTACTGAGATCCCAACAAGCGTCATGTACCCAGTGCAATATGAGCTGTTCACAAAATGCCAGTAACCATGAAGTGGATCAAAGCCAACCTGTGGGAACTCCGGTACCTGGGAGCAAATTGTGCTGGAGCTGCGTACAACGCATAAATATTAATCCTTGCTTTGGTATAGGGTCTTATCACGACATAAGGACTTCTCAAAGTGCTTTGCAGGATACACTGTAAAGTGGATTGACTGTGAAGGCAAACGTGTGCCTGCCTCACTCATTTCCAGTCATTGTAGAAATCGCCATTTGCTGTTAAGAATTGCCGCTCAATGGGCCCTCGTACCACTCCCTTTATGCGAGTAGCTGTTGGCAGCATTGCTGTGAGCTAAAGGCAACACAAGCAAATACATCTCATAGCTCAGGTTGGTTCCTAGTCCTGGACCATTTCACACTCTGTTAATGCCGTACATCATTCACTTGCTCAGTAAGTGTGCAAGAGAGGGAGAGAGAAATAAACTCCCATTGTCTCAGAGAAGGAGCATAAGCAAAAATTGCACCTCCTTTGAATCCGCCTTTCTGTTCCCACACTACCAAATACCGTGCGGCTCCTAAATATCTGCATAAACCTTTGGAGAGATAATGGGAGTTTGTCCTCATTCCTCATCCCCCTGCTGATGTGTACAATGGAGACTAACACACCACTCAGGCAAGCATATCTCTACCAATAGCCAGCCCGATATAAGATAGATGGGCACAGTTGGAGCCAAGGCAATGAAAAATGGTGGATACAAGTTAAAAAAGGGGAACAATCCTAAACTCTTTAATGGGGTAATCAAAAGCCTTTTTTTTCCCCCACCCATCACTCTTTTCAACATTTCTATTGAGGAATATGGAATACATTGCTTCACAATCAATTTTCTGCAATATCTTGTTTTGCCTTACAATCTAATTTACATTTATACAGCGTCTTTCATGCCGAGAGAATGTCTCAATGCACTGCATGCAGCTGACTGGAAGCCCAAGTTGAGGTAAAAAAGGCTCAGTCGAAAAGATAGGTCTCAGGGCGGGTTTTGAAGGTGGGGAGGGAGGACGGGAGGCAGAGGGCATCCAGGAATGGAGTTCTTGAGAATGGCTGAAACCTTGCCTGCTGATGTGAGTGGCAGATCAGATGGGGGACATGAAGGAGGCTGATATTTGCTGAGCAGAGGGAGAAGCCAGGGCAGTTGGGTCACTGGAAGTAACAGAGGTAGAGTGGGGCAACACCGTGGAGGGATTGGAAAGTGAGGATGAGGGTTTTGAATTCGATCTGCTGGGGGATGGGTAGCCAATTCACCAAGAAGCTAGAATACAGGTTCAGGGTTGGGAAAGACAATTCAATCTATCGGAGGAACTC